TGAAGATGAAGATGATGAAAGGGTGATTAAGTGTCTAAGGTTTTTGTAACTGATTTGGTGAAAAAATTGAATGAGAGAAAGTTTAATAGAATATTCTGCAAAGTGATCATCTATCACTTAAAAGTTAGGGTATTCTCTTTGCACGAAATTGAAAATGAATGCTTTTTCCCTTAAGCTGGTTGCTTGTTGAGATTGTTGTCATTAACGGGGCACATGCTATAACCACTGGAATCCCCCAGCAATCATACACTATTTTTTTTTTTTTTTTGAATTCTTTGGCATGACCAGCATGGCCACTATTTTTGGTAATATAATAAAAGCTGGGGCTGGGATTCAGTACAAAACCCATGAAAATGTTAGTATTTTTCTGAAAATCAGGTGAAGATGAGAGCTAACTAGTTGGTCAAGGAAGGTGGGATTTTGTGATAAAAGACTTTAGATTTGCTTGGATCATGAAAATTTTGGCTTGATCAGCCAAGACAATGGATCAACAAATTATAATGCAGACAGTGGAGATATAACACCTTTTGAATTGCAGTGATTTTTCAAAACGTGATGCCAAATGGATAGATTGTCAATATATTTTTGTCATAGGCTGATACTTTGGACTAAGAAAGGTGGTTGCAGCTGAAAATAACAATAGTTTTCACATGACTCCTTTCACCAAAGACCATTTGATACATTGAAAAAACTGTGAAAGGATTCAGTAAAATTTCTGTGTAAGAACAAGTGCCTGAAAAGAATAAGCTCAACATTGGCATGAAAGATCCAATCAACCCTTTCTTTTAGAAAAAGAAAAGAACGAGTCAAACCAAATTCAAGTGTTCTATAACAGAATCATATGATACGGGAATTCAGAGAAATTTTCATGAGAAAATGCCCTTATTTTTGGCAGACATGAATAAAACCAGTACTATATACATATATATACTGATATTATCATGCATTTTTCTCTTAGAAAGTATGAGAATAGTAAGCTTCTCACCCATGATTTACAACTAGCATGAGCTTAGTTGCGTGAAATCATAATCATTTGGATATATGTTTGGCCCATTCAGATTCTCATAGGCAGGACCAGGAGTACCCTACCAACGAGTCCTTCCATGATTGGAGGACAGGAGGACTCTAAAAATTTCCAGGAAGAACTTTGTGTCTAAAACTCTCTCTGCAGATTCCCTTTTCAGCTCTGGACCAACCTAGCCAACCTAGCCAAACAGATGTAATCCTTTGCGTAACAGGGGAGGGCACGGATTTTGCAAGGATGGCATAAAAAACAATTTATATTTTCTTACTAGCCATGCTTGAAATGAGGGTTCTGTTTCTCAGGAATATCTAAATCCATAAGCCCTCCCAGTCACCACAACTACTTTTCACACATTAACAAATTGGGGTATGGTGGCCAAGTACTCGAAGAACTAAAGCGACAATACTTGAACAAGTCATGTGGACTGTTATAATTGACTTAAAACTGTAGTTTTCAATTAGGTTTCACTCTCAAGAGAGGAGCAAAACTGGTAACTGAGTAAGAGTAACCCCATGTTCTTGTGCATGGACACCGGAAACATACTGGAGGAAGCTTATTTTTGGATCTCTGTCTAGCTATATTTATGACCAGCCCTGTGTCCTTATAGTTCTACAAAATGTCATGTCTGAACGTTTCAGTCCAAAACTAAAGGATAGGATTGAAATTGGTGGGAGTTGAACAGTATCGGATGTGTTAATATCAGAAGTGCTGATGATGCTTATATCTGCAGAAATTATTGTTACATTATTGTAATAAGCTGACTCATGGTTTTGACAATTTTTTGTATGTTTAGAGTCAAAAGCAGCATTATGGAAGTTGATGGTGGGAATTGAAAGAAACATGATTAAGTCAAGAATTTCTTTATCACTCCAACTTCAGTTTAAATCTTATAATTAATCTATACGATAGGTACTACAGAGAAATAATTATAACCCTTCACATACCCCACTTTCATTCATTTGTCTGACTAGAATTCTATCAAATTATTATGATACTTTGGAAAAAGAGGGTATGGGGGATGGTTTTTGACCAGACTATTCCAACATATGTTGCAGATATATGCAGAGAATAAATGGCATGGCATGGCATGGAATGATAAAATTATTCACTAAAACCAATCTTTCATCAGTCTTTTCAAAGTTATGGTTAACCACTCTTTGACAAGATCTGTTTTTTTTTTTTTTACAATTCTTGTTGGCATCTTTACTAGCATCAAATGGGTGTTTTATCTTTTGCCATTCCTTGCTGCCAAATCTTCTGCAACCTCTCAGTCATCTGCCAATATTGCAGGAGGATGGTATTTTTTTTTTTTTTCAATTTATGAGTCATAGAATGGGCAAAGATTTGGAGGCAGGTCATGGGGTTTTTTTACAACTGGACTCATGCAGAGAAAATGTAATCATTGATTCATGTGAGTCAGAGAAACTGTCTTAATTGGTTTTTAAATGATAAGGGTACTCAAACCAATATGATCACAAGTAAATTGTAGATTTGGAACTTCTCCATCAGCTTGACTTAAGTTCCCTTTGGATACCTAAAACTCAATACAGTATCGGCTGCTAAATTATTAGATGATAAAAGAGAAGTAAAGATCAACAAGAGTGGATAATAAAGTACCAAAAGGCCTACATTATTCTGAAAAGGAGTCAGCAAAGGTGAAAGCTGAGAATACAATGTTCAAATGATGTGGAAATCTCAGCATTATCCCTTGTATGGTAGTTAGGACCAGATAAATTTTGTCTTTAAGGTTGACACATACTTTTGTGTAAGACAAAAATGCAGGATCATTGCTTTTGCCTGTCATCCCGCTTTATTTGATCAAAAGGCTTTACAATAGTCAAGTCCTGCAATGAGTGAGGATTTTGACAAAAGATGGCCTCCAAATGCCATACTGCAGATCGAAATTTGACTAGTTCTAGGGAGAAATGATTAAGAGAAACAAAGAAAGATCACATAATCCAGGAAAAAAAAAAAACTTGTTATCTTTGGTTACCACAAATGTCAACAATCAGACTGCTAACAAAAGAACAAGAAAAATGGTACATAATTATCTTGATGGGGAGTCCATGCAGTTACAAATATTTGCAGAATCATCATTCAAAAACGTCAGGAACCAACAAAGAACTTTGGCATTAAAACTTTAAGAGGAGCAATCTGTAAGCAAATGGTTTCCAAGATTTTTTCTGGGCCAGAATTCTTTTTGCTCCAAAATGCAATAACCAGCCAATTTACTTATGCAAATGTATAAATTTGTCAGGTTACAGTCCTAAAAATTCTAAAACCAGTTTTTCATTACCTATGCTAGTGATGTAGGGGAAGACAATTTCTGATGCTACAGGGAAATCCAACCTCGAAATTGATCAAAGGCTCTGGCAGGCAGTTTGGATAGAATCTTTGAGAATTGACAAAGCTCAGCAGCTTTATTCCCCAACTTAACGGGCCCAATAAAAAGGGTGCATTGGATCATCATCTATTCACCATTTTCATCAAAATGAATGAACCTTTACAACCTTTAACTCCTTAATTGTGTTCATTTTTATAAAGGCGTCAGTTTGAGTATAAGAAAAAATGGATTTGATGTTATTTCTTAAGAATAATAATAAAAATCAATTAAATATATACGAAAATTTCTAAATTCAAATCTTAATCCGTAAAACATCTTCTCTTGTTCCAAATTAAGACTTTCTTTGTAAAAAATATATATATATTTCCTCTCGAATCTAACTTATTTTGAGAGGGACAGGCAAAAAATATGACACCGTCTGTCCTTTTCCCACTTAATGGTTTTTTATTCTTGTTTTCCTTCCATTTCATCTCGGCTAACAGACTCTTAAATATTTGAAGTTAGAATCTTTTTACATCAATGAACCAATGAAAAAAACTTTAGCCCTGATGATAGATTAGTACTGTTGACAGAGACAAGGGAACATGGTTCGAGAGAAACCAAACAAGAGCTAGACTCGGAAAACTTACCGAGCATTGTCATTTTCACGAACCCTCGGGACCTCAGCAAGAGCTGACAAATTTCATTTTAGCAATATATTGGACAAAGGTAAGGTCGGTTCATCTTATCAAGTCTTGCTCATTTCCATCTCTTTCAACCACTCCGTATCAGTTCCCAGGCCCCTACCTCACCTGCTTAAAAAAACATGAAAATAATTTTACTTTTCAGAACCTTTGTTTAATGCAACACTTCAATTAATGGATTTGACCTTACCTGGGGCCCTTTTGTAACTATTTCCAGATGCCAAGTCGCTAAATCTTATCATCCACGTGCACATGGCGAATTCTATGATTGAATTCGAATATTTTATTTATAAAATTAAATTCGAATTTTTTTTATTGAATAATCCATAAATTTAATATAAAACTTCCCTTCACCTTATTATTATTATTATTTTTAAATCTCCTGATTAGCCACTGTTACTAAAAAATATGGTTAAGGACAATCTGATCAGCTAAGGAAAAGACTTGAATAAAATTTTTTAAATAAAATTCATAAACAATTTTTTAAAAAATAATTAAATCCAAATTTAAATTTAAATTTATAATCAATAAATTAAATATATAAAATTTTAGTAAATTTTAATATATATCTTTTAAACAGACCAGCTGCTCCTTTCTCTATGTCAATGCCCTTAATGGCCAACATTTTGTGCCCCTACAATTCAGAGCAAAAACCAGGCACCAGCCTTCACCTTCTCTAGTCCACATTCCCCAAATTTACATTATTTATCCTGAGCAACCACAACAATAACGCAGTCTGTCACATGCTTGATAGGGCTACTCTCCGACAACCATATCTCAAGGGCTGGCATTATCTCAATAATTTATATAACATGCCTTGAAGTTGAAACCAAACATATAATAAAACTTGACATAATTCAATGATCCATTTCCCCCCCCCCCCTTCCCAACCACTTTCCAGGTCCTGTTTCAATTAAAATATGCAACTAAAATGCTTGCAAAACAATGGGTTAAGCAGAATAACACACAGTTAATTCAATCATGTTCAGGATTACAGATAATGTCGAGGTCTTTCACCATACAAAACACACAAGACAAAAGCTCAACAAACCATGCACTTTACAAACTGAAGATCCTTCGTGGGAACAGGGACTTGTCCAGATTTTATACTGATTGAATCTTAAAATTACTCACAAACGCTAGGCCTTGATGGTTTTATAACTTTTAGTAAACTAAAAACAAGACTTACATGATATGAATTCCCTCGCGAAAGGAAGATAAAACATAGAAAGATATGAAAGCAGATAAACATGATGTCCTACCCACTCCAACATCCTCTCATCTCTTCAGAAAGAATCTTGTAAGTGCTTCTACTTCTCCAGAAAGGCTGCTGCACGGATAGCAAAAATCATGTATAACAGTAGCTAGTTCCGGTTCCTGCATTTTTCCACGGCCCTGGGGGCTGCACACAAAAATGAAAGTACCATGAACAGAGAATAATTAAAATGAAACAATTGATGTAGAACCAGAGTATCTTCATATCCTCTAGCCTGAATAAAGCTCATCTTGGACCTAATAGTATGATGATAGAACACAGTTTTTGCTTTGTTATGACAAATGGTGGCCCATTTTCAGAATTGAAAGGACCTGAGTCAACTTAGTAAAGCACTGATTCAAAAATACTTTTTTTAAAGGGAAAAAAGTAGTGGCATTTAGTGAACCTAAAAAGGAGATACTTAAGAGATCAGAAGCCTTATAATCACATTGTTTACTCATGCAAACCATTTTCCTAAAGTAATTAAGAAATTGGAGTCACATAAATTCAACAACTATGTTGTTATAGTATTGCAGATGGAAGGGGCAAGAAGAAATTATGAAGGAATTATATTCATGCATCATTTGAGTTTCTTAAATCTTCAAAGTTTAAACACTACACCATACTTTAGATTTCATAAAACAGTGCCAAAATTTTATGCAAAGGTTTAGAACTTTAGATGTGCAATCAGTAGGTTGAGGCACATAAAAAGGCTTTTGGCAACATAAGAATACTAGTAGGAGAATTCTCTATACTACCAACACGTATATTAGGCATTTCATCAGAACAAATATCTAAATTGTAGAAATGGTTCCCATACTAGCTCATTCCATGACACTCAGTTGATGGATAATAAACACATAAAAATATTTACCGAGTCCAATGGCATCAGAGCTTTTCATGATCCTCAGCCTTTTGCAGGTATCAATAAACATCCTGAAACAAGTACAAAATTTGAATTAGGCAGCAGTGAACTGCCATTATATGAGTAGAAAATTGAGCAATAAATACTAATAAGCTGAACTTCATAATGCACCAACATGTTCTGACTCAGATTAATGCAGGCCATATTGAACTTAGAAATTATTGGGAGTATTAAGATGTGAGCAAAAGAACCATTATACCAAAAATTGGAATCTATTGGGAAAATTATTGCAGGTCAAGGAACATGAATTTTAATTTTTCCTTATTTAGAGATAGAATACATGTTCTGGCCAATGCAATTGTTTTACATTTCCTTTTCTGGCTGATGGTCAGCTAAATAAAGGAAAAAAAAAGAAAAATTAGTGGTCATACCAATGATTATTATATGCATGCATTATCATTATTACACAATTTTTCTCTAGAGCTAATGAACAAGGGTTCCTTTCCTTTGTCAAGAGCTCCCACAAAAATCTTATAGATACTATATGAAGGATAGTTTGCAGTTTGTACTTGTCCTAAATGATTCAAAGATGTTCTTACCTTTTAGCATTTCTTTAAAAGCTCAAGATAGACCAGAAAGCTTAACAACAGATTGCTACAACAATATGGCAGAAAAAAAATTCTGTTTTGTGTATTGCTTTGGTTTATTCCACTCCTATGAGTGCATTCTTGTATAACCATGCCTTCAGTTAGCATGTTTTTTGCTTCTTCAGAAGTAAAATGGCTGACATTTTGCTAATAACCTAAAAATACATTCTTACAACAGCAACTCAATTGCTTAAGTATGGATAGTGTCATAACGATCAAACTGGCAGGAAGCACAAAATTAGAAGCAAAAATATAGAAAACGGGGCTTAAAGCTTACTCCCATGGGACATCACCCACAAGCATCCAGTCACCATCTTTATCCTCATAAGTAAGAACATATTCTGATCCATGCAGCAGATCCTTCAGCTTGCTTTCGCTCAGCAGCTCCCTACCCAGGGTTCCATGAGATCCACATTGACCTGAAATCATAGTAAAATAGCAGTAACTGGATCCATGCGAACAAATACTAATCCGTTATTTTATAACAGCTGCGCATGATTGATGTAATATAAAGTCCACAGCCTAAAATCTTTATACAGAAATAGCTCACCTATGGTAAAACAACTAAACATCTTCTCAAGAGCAGAAGACAGCTCCTGATATTTAGAGTAGTTTTTCAAGTCTACTTTCCTCAAATAAGGAGCACCATCCATGCTGACCTTAACAAACAGAGCACCTGGCCCTGCCTTTCCATCTACTTCATCAGTGTTCTTCGAAGTAGAGGCCAATGAGTTCTTCCTGAATGACCGAATAGGAGGCCAACCTACAACCTGTGCCCTGTGAAAGGAGAATAGAGAATTTTCTCATGGTTAAGCCCAAATTTATAACAAAAAACCATGCAATCTTACTTGGTAGCAGGTGCTCCACTGTTAATGTTTGCAGATGTGTTAGGATTGGGCATGGTCTCATTGACAGCGTGAGGCCTGTCCTGTACCACCTTCTGATTCGTGATCTCTTTGGCTTTTGTTGGTTGAGCCCCAAGGTTCTCAAGCACAGAACCTGATTTCAGTCCCAAGTTCGAAGAAGGTCTGGGTGACAGCATCACATCTACTTTTGAATTAGAATGAAATTTAACCTGCAACATAGATTAGGTACTTTGCATGTTAGACTTGTTAATACTAGTCTAGCTATTCATTAATAGCAGTAGTTCCTACCTCAGAGAACCCATCCATTGCATCGGAGAACCCTCTTTTGTTGCCTGAAACAACAGTCTTCTGTGATGAGGAGCAGTGACCATCACTTGAAGGATGCAAAGGGAAGAGGGGTTTCTCATCAAATTGAGCAGAGCTTAATAAGCAAAGCTCCGGATTTCTTTCAGGTGACTGGGATCCAGGAAGCCCAAGCCTAAGCTCTGTTGCCTTAAGATTCAAACTAGCCTTGCTTCCCTCAGACGAAGGGGACACAACAGAGCTATCCACGGAAGAACAATCAGACAAGCCCATGTAGTTGCGTTCCTTCAATTCAGAACTTTTCTGGCACACACTATCCATGGAGCCCGAAGAACCCAGTAAAGTTACATTGCTCGGACCCCCTTCCTCCTCCACGCCAAGCAGCGGCGGAGACATCAGAATTCAAAAAACGACACACCCTCAATACTTCACAGCCTGCTAAATTTAAAGATAACCAAATTTATTATTCAAGAATTAAAGAAGCCCAAGCTACATATAAACAGCAATAGCTGGCTACCCCTATTTACAAACTATATTAACAACCGGAACCCATGATTAATTATAAACTATCTCTAACCAAATTAAACAGCAGAAAGTTTTAAATAGATCCTTAAGAAATTAGAGCAGAAACATCATCTTTTCTTTTTCAAATGTTAAAAAATCCTATGAGATAATTAAGAGCAGAAAAACAAATATAAAAGAATTGGCTTATCCAGAAAAAAATTTTCAAGCATTCTTGCAAGTGAAATAATGATAACTTAACTCATAAAATATTAAAAAAAAATGTTTTAATGAAAATCATATCGCTGCAATTTGAAGTATTTTCCGTTAAGTGTTGACAACTGTAAATGCATGCAAAAAATGGAACAATAAACCACACGCACGCGCCAAAAGATGGGGAAAAAAGGGAGAGAGTTTTTAAAGAAGAAATGATAGTGTATAAAAGAAGCAAATAGTTGTAGCATGTTTGTTTGATGAGAAAATCGGTAGAAATTTGGAATTTAAACCTTAGCTTTTAAAGCTTAACTAACATCAAGAGTCAAGAGATGGGTTAGCCTATACTCTTTTAACTATACGGAGAACTAGCTGAAGCGAGATTCCTGCATTTTTTTTTCTCGGTTTTTCCTTATATTTCCTCAATTTTCTTAGGAAACAAACACCAGGTAACAAGAAAGCAATAGCCAAAATAACAAAACGAAAAAGAAAAAACTGAAACAAAATTTTCCCTTAGAAACAGAAAAAGGAAAAAGAAAGAGAAACGGAGATGACAGAAAAAAAAAAAAAAAAGCATTACCTGATTGGATTCGTGGATCAGAAACTGAAGAAGAAGATCAAAATCAAACTCTTCCAAAATTTTGTTGCTTTTTTGGTTTGAGTTTTACTTAGAATCAAGCAAAGTAGAGATTTTTTTTTTTTTTTCAGAGAGAAAGCTAAGGACCCTCCATTTATCCCAAAGTAACAAAAGCTTATTTGCTGTCCGATGTGAAACTCTATGCATTAAAATAAACAAACTTTAAAAATTATAAAAATCCTTTTGTCTCATAAAAACCACTCTTCCTTTCTTCTTTTTTCTGCCCCCGCTTTTCGCTTAATACTGATTCCTTTATTCTGTTTTTTTTTTTTTTATTTACAAATTTATATTCGATAAATTATTAATGTATAAATTATATATATAATTAATAAATCAGATGATAATAATTTAATAATAAATAAACATTAATTTTTAAAATAAATATATATAAATTAAAAGTTTTTATTTATTAATAAAATATTATTATTTAATTTAATTTATTAATAAATTATCATCATCTAATTTATTAATAATATATTAAATATAATTTTTTTATTTATTATGCAGTTGATATTTATAATTTTTATTTATAATTTTATTTTTATATGAAAATAGTTATTAAATCATTGAATCAACACTAATAAATTTTTAATTTCATGATAAAAGACAACAAAAAATTAAAAATTTCGAGATTAAACCCTAGTCATAACCTTAAAAAAAAAAAAATTAGGCCAACCTGATTGTTAATTTGATATATGGTTATTTTCATTCTTTATAGTGGATAAATTACAAGAAAAAAATATTGATAATTTAATTTTCAAACTATAGTGGAAAAAAAATTCAGATGTATAATTTCAACAAAACAGTCGAAAAATAGAAAGAATGTAATACATGGAAGCTCTCATGTATGGTTGAAGAAAATGCTCTCTTTCTCATTATGATGTTTCCCATGAGATCATAGGTGGTGGAGAGATTAATCAAGTGACCCACCTTGTCTTTGGCCCAATATGTATTTGTCCTTTTCCTCCAACCGTTTTTATAAATTATGTATATTAATTAATAAAATTATAATTATAATTAATATTTTTAATATAAATTAAAAATAATTTAATAAATCAAATCAACAAATCAATGTATAATTGAACATAAACCAACATATAATTAAATTATATCCCCACATGATAAGATTCAAAATTGACTTTTTTTTTTAATTTCAAAACCCCATTTTTATCATTGATATCATTTATTATTACTTATCTTCTTCTATTTTGGGATTATTTCTCCAATAATTTTTATAATTAACTATTTAATTACAACGAATAATTATACAAAATTTATCACTTATAAATATAAAATTTATATAATTTTAAATTACGTTAAATAAATTATTATCAAAATCATTCTTAAAAAATCATTTATAATAAATTTAAAATTTGAATTCAAGTATTTATAATATTTTTTTGTAAAAAAAATCAAATCCACGTGAATTTAAGATTTGGGATTAGAATTGTTCTTACAAAACGTCAGACCACATGTTTAAAATTTGTTGTACGATATGATTCTGTTGTCCAAACTCGAAATTAAATGATGTAGTGAAATACGAGTAGTTGTTACGCAAATGACCCATGCCATCATCTCATTACCTTGTTTTCTTATGTGAACGAACTACCTGCATTTTTTGTGCGGAAAGGGAACATGACACGTGCAAATGCCCTTGCATTTTTTTGGCTTCATGTTCTTCGTGCTCCTGCGTATCTAAGCCAGCATTTTGCTACAATAAAACAGCGGCAAACATGTCTTTTCACGAGGGCATCCCATCAATCACAAACTAGGACGTGTCCCAAATCACGGCCCTTCACGGTCGTTCCCCCTCCCCCCAACAGTTGATTTCACGATATGGCCGATAGGATCCTAGCGAGGGTCCGTCGCTTTCTCGGCAGCTATTCCTATTCCCTCATGCAGGAATAATGAGACCGCATAAAGACCATATTACCCCGATTCAACCATGATTTTGATTTTTTTTTTAATTTAGAATAAATTTACCATATACTTTCTTTATTTTTAATTAATATTCGCAAGTAATACGATAGGGAGTATATAAAAGAAAAATAAGGGTTTTAGGGCTTTCAAGTTTGAAAAAGTCATATTTTCTAGAAACAAGAGAATAGGCATTATGGTTAGGATTAGTATAATAATACATACTTTTTACAATTAAAAGTATGACATGTGATTTTTTTTTTAATTTATAAATATAAGAAAAATTTTATTATAATTAAATTATAATCATTTAATAATTAATTAAATAATTAAACTCACATATAATAAAATTTGAAATTAAAATTTTAAAATTTTAAAACTTTTTTTTTTTGCAACTAAATTAAAACTTCATTGGTGATATATGACAATCTCTTAATTTTATTTTATAAAATTAAAAGATTTTCACCGTATATTAAAATGAATTGCAATTTAAAACATATGAATGTGTAGATAAAGCATAAATAGTTAATGGGTACATGTTTTTCTAACAAAAAAGTTCAATATATGCAATTTTCTTCTTGCTCCATCTCATTTTTTTTATTAAATCTAAATTTCTAGTATTCACTACATGAATGGTAGGTGAGAAAAGAAAAACAGATGAAAGGAAAATAAAAATAATGTCAAAGAAGAAATATGTTGTTTTTATCAAAGTGCAAGTAAAATAAAAAAATAAATAATAGAATTGAAAAAATAAATTCAAAAAATAGACTCAAATATCCATATATATAAGAAATGATAGTATTGTATAAAATTTTTAATTTTCTTTATTTGATTTTATATAATTCCACCGATTGAAAAATAAGTAGTTTATATTGATATAACATATAAATTAAATTTGTGATAAAGGAGAAACATTTACCTTGATGATATAATTATTGATGAAATTAATTTATACAATCATCTTTAAAATTAATATTTAATAAATTTAAGATTTTAATTTTTATATTTATAATTTTTTTTCTTAAACTATGATTTGTTTATAAAAAATTACAAAAATTATGATTTTTTTTATATTATATACACATAATTTTGCCCAAAAAAAAAAAGCATTTAAATTTCAAAGTGATATTGAGAAACAAAAGAAAAATAAGGCTCTTGTTTAGCTAGATCTAACAAATTCAACCACCCCACTCATTGCTCACCTTATATGGTCCTTCTCTTTTAACAAATGGAGATTCCTTTCTCCGTCTGCCCCCACCCCAACCCATGTTACATTGCCAAAAAAATAAAAATTACTAATTTTAATTCTCAACAGTCAAAAAAATATACTCCACTCACATGAATGACCCTAGTGGATCCCATCAACTATTGTCACACGCTCGTAGGCCACCCAATTGGATCCCACCGGTTTCAGCCGAAAGCCTACGTATTTAATCACAGCCCCATTATTTCCACTAAATAGTGGATTCATACCATTTTAAATACATATATAGGCAGATTTATACCCTCTCAATATGTATTTTATTATCTTATTTTAATTTTTTTATATTTAAAATTATCAAAATTAAAAATTTAATATTCTATCAATAGACCATATCATTGATAAAGATATTATCAATTATCACTAATCATACCCTTTTTTATGTTTATTTATGTTTTTTTCTTTTTTTTTTTAATTTTTAATCTACCCCTAATATTATTATATTTATATTTATATAGTAAAAATCAAATTTGATTAAATAATAAATAAATAATAGATTTAAAGTGTGTTTAACACATTGTAAATGGTCTAACCTCTTTCACATACTCATTGAAGTATGCACTAAAATGATTTTCATTTTAGTCTGAAAAATTAAAGGGTGGAATAGGAATTTTGTTAAAAAAGAAAAAAACTAATTATTAAAAAATTAAAAAAAAATCGGGGGAGAGAGAGGGTTTCGAGAGGGGACAAAGAAAAACAGAGTGAAGCGATATGATGATGTGTTGGGGGACAAGAAAGTCGCTTTTAATTTTGGATTGCCGGGTACAGAACACGACATATAACTTCCTTCACTACCTCTCTCTTTTACACCTCACGCGCCAATCTCCGGCACTGCATTACACCTACCAATAAACGATAATGCATAAGAGTGAGAAAGATGTGGAGCCCTCAGGTTGGAGGAAGTTTGATGGTATAATATTGGTATGTCCGTGACGGAAGGCACGCGCGTTGATGTGATTTTTGGGTGGGATATTAATCTTTTGGGGGAGAGGAGATATTTTTTTTACTGGAATATATATACTTTTTAAGAAGAGAAGGATTTAGTAACCATCATTAACTGCCACTAGCTGTTGCACGCTTTGCCCTTCATCCATGCATACATGCGGTATCATGTCCATGGTTTCTTGGCATCGTCATCATCGTCATCGCGCTCCGATTGCATCGCGTCATTCGCAGGCCATCATCACATTATCATGTTGCTAAACATTTATCATTACGTTAAACATTACACATGCTAAGTTTTTTTCCTTTCTCGATTGATTGATTCAATTAATCCTTTCTCGTGACTCCTTAATTCGGCTTGATTAATGATAATCTTTGGTATTAAAAAATCTCTATTATTAAGAATCAAGTGAGTAAATCATGTCAAGATTGTATATTACTTCCCTCAAAATTAAAGTTATGAAAGTTAATAAAAAATTTTAACATTTTAACATATTTATTTTTATATAATTTTCATAGGCAATGATGTCGAATAGATTAAAAATTTTAATTTCAATATTTTTTGTTTTTGTTATCTTCAAATTATAATTTTTTTGTAAAATAATAAATGATTTATAATTTTTTAAATTTCAAACACGAACTCGTATATATCAAAGAAAGTATATGCATTATACTAAATATATATTAAAATTATTTATCTTAGTATTTAAGTAATTTTATCAATCAAATATCATTTTTTAAATTGTGACACAATTTATTTATTGTATCTTTAAATGGCTATTGCTATTATTATATGGCATTAGGATAGATACAAAATACTTTTTAGTGGTATAATAATCTAAATTTATTTGATTTGTGTGCTTTATAAATACACATAAATCTTGCTAGTGTGACTAATTACTTTTCTAATATGGATAGTTAAGTTGTTTTATAGAAGGTGATTAAAATTAAACTATTATAATGGATAGTTATTTAAATGATTAATTGAATTAATCATATATTTATTTAAAACGGTAGCAAATGACACAAGGAAATCTCATATTCTCTCAATCGTAAAAATATGGTGAAGAAAACCTTCAAATATTGAATTTTTTTTTTT